AAAAAAATATTTCAGCTAAATAAATTTACATGAAAATTTAGAACAACACTGGCTCCAGGCTTAAAGAGCAAGCATTCCAACTTCCAATACCAGGTTCTCAACTGACCATCACACAGAGTTGTATGTCTTGCATAAAGTAAGGGATCATCAAATAACTGTATTCTTGAGCCAAAATTTAGAGCAATAGGGTGTGGTGCAATGGCTGAACTAGCTAATTCTCTACCTTCAAGCACCAGAAGCCCATATGGGGCACTGGTTCATGTCCCAGCTGCTCCACTTCCCATCCAGCTCTGCTTGTGGCCTGGGTAAGCAGTGGAGGATGATCCAAAGCCTTAGGACTCTGCACCCAGGTGGGAGACCTGGAAGAAGTTCCTGGTGCCTACCTTCAGATCGGCTCAGCTCTGGCTGTTGTGGCCATTTGGGAAGTGACCCAGTGGACAGTGATCTTTCTCTCTGCAAGTCTGCCTTTCCAACAAAAATAAAATCCTTAAAAAGATTCAGAGCCACAGAGAGAAAGGGAGAGAGGGGGGAGAGAAACAAAAGAAATCTTTCATCTTGTGCTTATTCTGCGAAGCCAGCAGCGACCAGGGCTGAGCTAGGCCAAAGTCATGGGACACCCAGGCAGAGGCGGGAATCAATACCAAGGCACTCTGAGGTGGCACAAAGGCATCCCACATGGCAGCTTAACTGTCTGTCCCAGGAGCCCACCCCATACACATCTTTTAACTTCATTTTCCCATAAACTTTATACTATCACTTTATACTCGATTACATCAAAGACCAGCGATTTTTCTGTGGAAAATATAATCAATTTATTGGTTTGTTTAATAAGACCTTATTGAGTCTGTAGCATAAAAGCCAATCAATCTATCAGGCAGGTAGCAGTTGTCCTGAGAAATACTTACCTGAGGATGATAGAGGAAATAAAATCAAAGGTTAACCTGAACAGTCACATCAGAGGATACTGACTGGTATATATCCAGAAGTGGAAACTGGTTTCCCAAAGGAGGGAGTGGAGAATGTGGACCGCTCAGAGGGCTGCAGCCTAGCCTAAACAGAAACTGCTAGAGCTGCAGGACTTGGCCGATGAAAGACCTAGGGGTCCATATTCCATCCCAATGGTGAAAATACTTTAGAAGCCTTAGATGCAGGAAGGCAATGTCATCATTTCTGAAACTGAAACAAAACAAAAGGCCAGGTGGCTACAGTGATTGATGCAGATGAGAAATGCCAGTGGGTTACACTGAGGCCGTGACAGCAGGAACATGAAGACATTTCCAGGAGAAATGTTAGTTTGATGTATCATCTCAGTTTTAAGCACCTTTGCCAGCCCTGCTCTTGCCCTAAATGTCAGAACTGCCACCTCAAATTGTCCATGCCACATCAAATATACCAATCTTCCACTCTCCTGGCTCTTGCTGTTATTGCTTGAGCAGGAAGAAGCAGGAGGATGCAGAAGGTTGAAATACAATGCTGGTTTAAGGCCCAAGATCCCGAGACCCCTTTCTGTTTGTCCTTAATCATCCTCAGATAGTGCTGTTCTCGTAAGAGAATGCAGGCCAAACTTCAAACTTCTTTACCCGAGCATCCATAAGTTCAAAACACATGGTCAACTGAGTTCTTCTTGGACTTTACTTCGTTAAGCATTAAATTTTCCCGCAGAATTGGACAGAATCTCAGATCGTTGAATTCTTATCAAGTGAAATATATGTCTGATGGAGCACAGGTTTTTAAATTTGGCACACTCAATAGTTACGTATTCAGATATGCACTGTAAGAGTATAATTAGCGTATCAATTTATTATATCAGGGATATAGCTCTTCAAAAGAGGGGTTTTTTTAAGTCACTTTAAAGGTGATATCTAGATAGGTCAGAAATATTGAAGTATAAGTAGACTCAAAATTGACACATGTGGATATATTCAGATTCTTCATTCTTGGTGATATTGATGCTCAAGACACTGAGATAGAAGCCCATGGGTGGTGGCAGACAGATTCTTTATCCACCTTGGCCTTGCCCCTCCTCCCAGAGCTGCCAGCCCCCTTGCAATGAGGTTGGGTAAGCCCTCTCCCCACCGTTTTCCCTTCCCTCATCTGTCAAATGCAAGACCCCAGGGAGGGAACTGTTAGGGAAGGGTAGTCTTGTCAAGGGGAAAAAACAACTCCCTTTTCCCAGGCCACAATGAAGAGTGACATGTGAAACAAGTCTTTAATGTAATGATCCAAAGAGATTTGGGGATTACTAAAGCAATCAGCTTACTAAAACACAACTAGCTCATCATAGCCAAAGTGGAATTACAACTCTGGTCTCTGGTTAAGAGCAAATTCCTGGGTGACATAAGAAAGGGGCACTGCCAGCACCATCTGTGCCACTCAGCTTCAATTCTCCTAAGCGAATGAGCTGCTGAGACTCCATAGTTGCAAGAAGCACATTTTCAAGTTTCAAATCAGTACTCTTACCACTGAGATCCTCAACCCTACAAGTTGCTATCTGGGTGGAATATTTTAGTGTTTTCATTGTGCCCTAAAGCAATGAATAAATTTGGGGGAAAAAATCCATCCAGTAGCATTGATCTCAGTCAGGTGAACTTGCATCGGAGTTATTCCCTCCCTTTCAGTACTGAGCCATTTGTCTGACCTGCCATTTCCGTTTGAGTTTGAGGCTGAGGCAATAGTGTAGGTAACATGTAATACTTTCATTCTAATCTTGAGTCTAACTCACATGTGAACTGGACACTGTTGCACACCAAGTACCTAGGTATAGTCCTGAAAGAGTTAGTTGCAGAATCTGGGCTTCCACACTGAGCTTTGAATGTGAGCATCCTGACCCACTGTGTTGGCTAAATCTGGACTACATCAGTTGCCTTGCTAGCTGTAGGCGTGTTCAGCTTTGCAACTATACATCCAATTCAGAGGAATTCCTGCAGGGGAAGGGGAACCCAGCAGGGCAGTGATAAAAGTTTGTGGGAAAAATGCATTATTTTAAAAAACTGCATAGATTAACATTTTTATATTAAAATAAACTTTTCCTCCCTCCCTCCCTCACTCACTCACTCACTCACTTCCTTCCTCTTTTTTTCTTTCTTTTTCTTTCTTTTTTAAAGGTTTATTTTTATTTGAAAGGCAAGTTTACAGAGAGGAGCAGAGACAGAAATAAAGATGTTCTGTCCTCTGTTTCACTCCCCCAAGTGGCCACAATGGCCAGAGCTGCACTGATTTGACGCCAAGAGCCAGAAGCTTCTTCCAGGTCTCCCACATGGGTACAGGGTCCCAAGGCTTTGGCCTGTCCTCCACTGCTTTCCCAGGCCACAAACAGGGAGCTGGATCAGAAGTGGAGCAGCTGGAGCATAAACTACTGGCCATATAGGATTCTGGCACTTCGACATGGAGGATTAGCAAGCTGAGATATTGCACCTGGTCCTATAACTCTGTCTTTCAAATAAATAAATAATCTTTTAAAAGGAAAAAAAAAAACAAAGAAACTTCAACACATTTAGAGAAAATGGTAATTTCATTGAATTCAGAAAAAGAGATACCTTGACAAGGTTTTTCTGCAGAAGAAAACAATAAAGGCAGCAGCAGAGGTAAGCAGTAAGGTTAAAGGTTGGTAAGAACTGACATTTCAAAGTCTACGGCTGCATTGTTATATTGATAATTTCATTAGAAACTGAAACATGAAATCTGGAGTGAATTTCATCTACTTTCAGTTTGCCAAGGTGAAGCAGCCTCTAATCTTTTCTATGTGGAGGAGTCTAGAGAACACGTCTTCTCCATCTTCTTGCCTCCACAGAAACCCTGAACTGCGTGAGCTGCAGGACAGGCCCATAACCCCAGCAGCCTCCTCCAAAGGTACACACAGCCCACAGGGCTCGCGGGCCTCCAGGAACAAGTGGTCCAGGGCTACTAATCTGGGGACTAACAGTAGTACAATGGTCATCTTCAATCCGCAATAAGCACTCCTGATTCTCAAGGCCAAATCTATTCTTGCTCCTTTTGCCAATCTTCAGCAGAAAATCGATACAGTTGTATTCATTTCTATTTTCTCTATCATGTAACCTACATAAGGGCTGGAATGTGTGGGGAAGTGAACTTCAGAATTCTGAATACTTCAAAGCACTTCAGCACATCTCTGCGTGGAGAGCTCCTGGGGGACGCAGATGAGGAGTTGGTTTCATTGCTCCTGAGGTTTCTTCCATCTTAGTGTGAAATTTGCCTTCCAATCTCCCAAAACATCTTTTAAGACAGAGATATATATGTTCTTGATGGTGCTGAAGTCCAAACTGAATAGACATGAGGATATCCTTTTACAAATGAGTATATCCCTGATCAGAATGAAATGGACATTGCCCCCTAAGAATGTCCCCATGACTCAGCCCACTGCTTTACTGAAGGATGCTAGAACCCGCAGTGCTTGCTCATAGCTCTTCAATAGTCTGCCTGAGCCATCCCTTCCTTCTTTTGCCAATCTGTGCAGATCTACACAGTGAAGGAATAGGAAGGAAAAAGCCTGAGAGTAGTCGTCTATCAAACATGAAGATGCCTAAGAAACCTTAATCTTATTTAAGATTTATTTATTTTTATTAGAAACGCAGATCCACATAGAGAAGGAGATACAGAAAGATCCTCTGCTTTCTGGTTCACTCCCCAAATGGCCACAACTGAGCTTATTTGAAGTCAGGAGCCAGGAACTTCTTCCAGGTCTCCCTTACGGATGCAGGGTCAGTCCCAAGGCATTGGGCCATCCTCCACTGTTTTCCCAGGCCATTGACAGATAGCTGGATTGGAAGTGCAGCAGCCAGGACATGAACCGGCGCTCATAAGGGAGGTGTGCTTGTAGGTGGAGGACTAGCCAATTGAGCCAGCATGCCAACCCTGGAACCTTTAAACATTAGCACAGGCCACTACAGCCTGAAATAGAGATGATCCATAGAACACCCTCAAAGGAAATTCTGGGCAAGTGCATCGCCATTAGTAAACAAGCCTACTGCATGGTTATAGGGCAAGTTTTTATTCTTTAAAAAATGTTGAAATATTATTATAAGATACTACAGTCTGAGATAGCCTAACTGCATTTACATTTTTAAAAAGGTGTCTCTATTGTAGCAATATGAGTTGACTCAACAGCAGAAACCCATGAAAAGTAAAGAGCAATCCTGCCAATCTGGATGTTGAGTTCTTCAAGGGCTGCTGTTCTGACATTTATTATAGAGGAAGAACTGCTGGTGGTTCCATGAGCGACACGTGCAAATACCTGAAACGAGATACAAAGCATGGTCAGTCCAAGCCATGGCCATTGGTCTGTGGAATCTCAGTGAGGCTACAGGAGAATTCTCCAGCAGCTGTAAGCTGAGTGTTAAGTACTACAAACTGATAACCTGCCACTCAAGGCAAGTTAATTTTCTTCACTGAACATGTAACTTTGCTTTTCCAAGCTAGTACCACACATACAGTTAATTCTATTTTTAATTCTGACAGTATTGAAATCCATTAAGCTTTAGGTGGAGAGCCACAAGGAGGAAACGTCAGTAACTTACTTTGAAGCTTTGTATTTCTCTCTAATTGCTTGCTGAGGTCGATGGGGTATATCAAGGCATGCCTTATGTAGCTCATTCAGGCAAGGCCCAATTTCATTTAATGAATAGCCTGTAAATGCAGCAAGGGTTTCTGGCTATTCAAGACAAAAAAAAAATCTGTCACATAATTTTGTGATACATTAGAAATCTGAAGATAAAAGTGTGAAACAAAGGGAATTGTTTAGTACGTATCCATACTCATTACAAAAAAAAAAAGTTATCTCCTTTAGACTTTAGACATAAAATATAAGACAGATCAACCAGAGTTCTGAGTTTGCTCATCTTATATATTCACAGTGTCCAGTTTGAGTGATGATCACTTTCCTCTTGGCTAATGAGTGGGACTATTTGCCTGGACATCATATGAGAGCACTTCAAAACACCTAAGGAGTGGTGGATATTTGGCCTATAAGCTAAGATACCAGATAGGATGCCTGAATTCCCTATGAGGGTGCCTGGGTTCAGTGTCCGGCTTCATGTCCATGCAGACCCTGGGAGGCAGTAGTTCTGGCTCAAATTTCCTTGAGCCAAAACCCAACTTTGGCTTCCTGTGCCCTGCATGGGAGACCTGCTTTGAGTTCTAAGTGCCCAGTGTTACTCCAGGTCCCAGCTGGGTCCTGTGGACCTTCAAGGAATAAGCCAGTGGAGAGGAATTCTATCTGTCTTGCAATCACATTTTTTTTTAAATAATAACTTCACAGATAACGGAACTGCTAAGCTGGTTTGGGTGCAAAAATGTTCTTAAATCCATTCCAAGCCCTTTTTTTTTTTCAAAATACACATTTTTCAAGGGACACTTTGAAAATCCCTTGCATGTACACAGAATGTAAATGTTTCTTAGTTACAATGCAGCATGAGAAATAAGAATATAAAGGTAAATATCCCCACCCCTTTGTTTTAGCACAACCATGAGCCTTTGGAACTAAACTTGGGGGGCATATTTTGATCTAGTTACCTCCTGGGGCAAGAGGTAGCACTAACTGCCCTATTCTCTTCAAATGCAGGTGCAGTCTTCTGGCCATTCTACCTCTACGCAGGATTCTTAGACACAGAAGCGGAAAATCAACAACAATGCCCATTGGAAGTGGTCAGTGACTGCAACTGAAGCACCTCCATGCCTTGCAGTGAGCACAGAAGTCAGCTGAGCTGCTCACTGCTGAATGAGGCTGCTGGACGTTATCTCCTTGACATCCGTCACTCTCCACTCCCCTTGGAGGAAGCTGCCGAGTCACAGCCTTGGCAACTGACCTGCAAGTCTCAACAGCGTATTGCAGCTTGGCTGCCAAGACAACCAGTTTCTGATTCAAGTAGTGTGCCAACCAAATCTATACTTGAGAGTCATTCAACAGAAATGTTAAACAGATCCTGAATTGCACCCAGGAAAAAAGAAACCATCTTACCCAGAAGTGTCTGTTCACAGTGTAGTTTGCCAGGCAATAAGCTGCTGCAGCTATCAGTGAAGGAAGGTATTTCAAGAATGGGTCTCCATCTAGTAGACTCAGTTCTGCTACATACTACACACAAGAGAGAAAACCTCATTAGAATTAGGAATTTGACTAAGTACTAATGGGACTAAGGTCACAAATAAATCTACAAATAATAAGTTGTGTTTCATCTTTATCAACTAGGATCTAATGGTGATCACAGAAATGGAGAGTCAGAATTATTCACTGAAATACTGTATGCCTGCCCATACTCAGAACAACATTTATGGTACAAGGTACACAAGTATATGGTCTATCCACATAATATATGTGACAAATTACTACTGTTAATGGTGTATAAATTTATGCTGGTCAGATAAAGTAGCTTTGCTTTGGCAGCTGAAATGGAAACCTTCAGCCAAAAGGAAAACAACACAGCTATATTATAAGTCATAATCAGTTGAATGAATACAATTCAGAGATTAGAACAGCACCAAAGGGGACAGACCAGATTTAGAGAAACATATTGAGAAACTTAGTAAGATATCTTTTTTTTTTTTAAGATTTATTTTATTTTTATTGGAAAGGCAGATATACAGAGAGGAGAGACAGAGAGGAAGATCTTCCGTCCGATGATTCACTCCCCAAGTGAGTGCAATGGCCAATGCTATGCCGATCTGAAGCCAGGAGCCTCTTCTGGGTCTCCCACACGGGTGCAGGGTCCCAAAGCTTTGGGCCGTCCTCGACTGCTTTCCCAGGCCACAGGCAGGGAGCTGGAAGGGAAGCGGGGCTGCTGGGATAGAACCGGCGCCCATATGGGATCCTGGGCATGTAAGGCGAGGACCTTAACCACTGCGCCACTGCACCGGGCCCTTAGCAAGATATCTTTATAATTCCTCATATAGTTATAAATATGGAACATTTGGTATAATTAGGGAATACAAATAATTAGAATATTTAGAATATGTAAATTTGGAATGTATGGAATCCTCTAGATCATAGTGGCTGAAACCCAAGTTGCCCAGGCAACACTTTAATGCCTTCAGCTTTAAATCTAAATGACCAAACAATGTTTTAATACTGTATATATTAGAATGTGATTAGAACTAAATTAAAGATATTCTGCTGCCATTCTGTAAACCTAAGAGTTATTGCCTGTGTGTGGTCTATTTCTGACAAAGGCACAGTTTCCAAGCTTGAATTTCTTTACTAGCTGGCTGATTGGACAATCAACAGCTGCCAAGTATAGTTGATAGTCATGTCTCACAGCCAGAACATGTGTTTATAAAATACCCCTTTTCTATTGCTAAAAAGCTTTTCTGGGCCTATGACTGAAAAAGAAAGAAAAAAGAAGAAGGAAAACTGAAGGATGACTGAGCACTGCTGTTCTTCGTGCTCCTTGGCACAAGAAGTTGCTGGAATGCCCATGGCATACCTTGGCCAGGTTCTCAGTTCTGATGCACACTCCTTGACGCTTCAGGTATTGCAGGAGAAACTGGTTGGTGGTTGGCACTGTCAGGTCAAAAGCCAGGACTTTCAAGAGTAGGTGTTCCATTCTTAACAGCTGTCGTTTGGAGTACGTATCATCAGTGATATAGACAAACTCGTCTACTTCGGGTGGGTATATCTCCTCATATTTCCTGGGAAAGGAAGAATTTTTAAAACTAAACTTTGGAACCCATGAATCTGCATCCTGACCTCCTGGCAGAGCCCTGGAAGTTTATCCTGTAGGCACGTATCCACTATAAATGATACAGAGCTGAGGAAATGTGAGGAGTGAGTTGCTAGACCAAGAACAAGAATAAGACAGAAACAGTTGTGCCTACTTCCAGCCTTAGTAACATAACCTGCTTCATACTGAGAACCTTAGATTTTGGTTTCTGAATCACTGAAAGATTCTGAATGACATATAATGGGTAAACTTGTCTTCACGCTGCAAACCTCAGATTCTGTGGAAAAGAATCTTATGATAGCAGGAAAATTTTTGACCTTTTATTTTTACAAAGATCACACTGGGCTTTGTCTACTGAGTTAGTAAATTAGGTTACATAGCCAGAAGAAAGATTGTAGGGGGCTTCCGTGGGTTATGTGGAATGCCTACTACCCATTAATTTCATTTTTCCATAGCTTTTTGAAGATTCTCCATCCTTTCCCCATCATCAACTCTTTCTACTTCCTCCTCTAGTTTCTTTAGGAGAATCTTGGTGAGTGTTCATGTATTTGTGACCAGAGCGTTAAAAAAGAGCCTTCAACAGCAAGGAAATTAAAGGCAGCTCAGCCCCAACCCTGCTCCCTTTCCCCCACAATTAGGCATTGTCAGGAAGTCCTGACAGGCTCAGGAACCAGATGAAACCATTATTCACTGCAACCAACGGAGCAAACAGTCATTACGGGTCATTTCCCAGATCATGAAGACAGCTGGTATGAAAATCGGTGGGATTTTTCACTCGTACAAGAAAACAGCCAGAATAGTTGACTTACGTCCTGGATTCAATCTGATGCCTGCCTTCGTCGTGATAGTAAACCTGTTGCTACAGCATCTGAACTGGGGCGTGAACACGCGCTTCAGATTGAGTTTCTCGGTAAATTTTGTAAAGATGAGCATCTTTTTTTTTTTATCCAGGGAAGTGTGAATATTTGTAATGATCAAGCACTGCATTTCTTCAACAAAGGTCAGGGGGAGGATAGGGCAGAAATCAAGTGTTTTGACAGGAAGTAGTCTGTCATGATTGAAGTTTAGAAGGACACTTACGAAGCCAGGAGTATAGCTGCTGTTCCCACCAGCTGTAATTTCCCTCTCAGAACGGACATGTTGGACAGAAACCTGTCCAGGAAGTTGACGGCCAGATACAGAGTCTCTGCTCGAAGCTTGTACTCTTCGCCCACCTCCACCAGCCAGTCCACCAGGATTGTGCGCATGCCTTCTGTGATGTCTGGCTGTTTCCTCATGTAGTGTGCTTTGGGTCTGTGTTTTTTCTGTTTGGGGCAAGAGTTGCAATATGAGATGGAGCCTCGCACACTGTTATTTCAAACAGGAAAGATAAATTTCACGAGCAAATGTTATGATGACACTGATTTGGACTCAAACCTTTCTCATGAGAGGGAAAGTATGGAATTCTTGCTCTGTGATATAATGAGCTACTAAGGGAAGGAGGAGGCAGACAGCAAAATAGGCTATTTCCAAGTGTGATATATTTAAAATGAATATTTTGGGTCACATCGAAATAGTTTAAGTAGCTGTTATCACAACTATCATTTTTCTTGAAAATATATTATTTACATAAGGGGAACAAATTTTATGTATTTCATATTTATATATAGTTTTTAAGAGTATGATGGTATTTTCCACCTTCTCCTCCCTTCCTGACTCATTCCCACCCTCCCTCCTTTTTCCTTAATTTTTATAACATATTTACAATTGACTTTGCCATTACAAGGTTAGCCCTCCACTAAAGAAAGAATTCAGCAAGTATAACTTATTTATTATAAGTTATTATAATACATGATATAATATAATATGTATATATAATATATACCACATATCTATTATATATTTCATGTAATATAAGTATATGTTAAATACATATAATTATATATAAGTATACAAAATGCATAAATATATAATTAAATGTGTAATATTTAATTATATAATCTAAATACATGATTAAATATATAATTACATTTATATGATATATAATTTGTATATAATTTATGTGATAATATGTAAGTTGACTTACAACTTTACTTCTAATATAGTGTTATAAATAATAATATAGTCTTATAAATTGTAATTCTTCTTCATGGTCATTGTCAAGGGCCTAGGAGTGCCATTCACTAGTGGTTATGGCCATGAGGTTACAACAAGTATCTCAACCTTAAGAGCATGGGGTCCTGGACATTAAACTGAGCATTTAGGGGAAACTCACTTCAGCTTCTCTAAGGTATTCATGAATTTCGTCTGCATATTCAGTCATGTTGAGCACATCTGTGCCGAAATCTGCTGCATCTTCAGATTGAGAATGGAGAGATGAATCTACCAGCATAGGGGACACTGTAGGGGTTCAACATTGTGAGCGAACTCATTTCGTTGAAAAACCCATTCCATTCACCAACCCTCCACGGGCACCTATACAAATTATCATGACTCTGTTTTTCTCCTTTGTGGGTTTTCACTATTGGAGTACTGTGCAGGCTGGGGGACTCAAGGCACCACCATCAACCTGGCTGAGCTGAACTACCTGTGCTGAAATCCAGCAGGAAGTGAAGGTCTGACTTGAGTGTGCTTGTGTCAACATCACACACGTCCTCAAGGGCCGAGCCATCCTTCCTGGGGCCACTGTCCTTGTCTCCTTGCTCCGAGTCATCCATGTGGATATCAAATCCCTGCTTGGCTAGTTCCTGGTCTCCACAGTCAGGCAGCACTTTTTTTCCAGCTGGAGGAAGGACATTTTCTGATCCAGGAAAGCCCTTGATTGCTGTGATCCCCTAAGAAGCAGGACAGTGTTTTGTTAAGGAGTTGCGCCCAGAGACATCCAGGCAAAGCGAACACCTTTCAAATAAATACATCTCTTAAAAAGTAACAAGAAAGAAGTACTTGGGTTAGATCATTGCAGAGGCAAGAGGGCACCCTGTGCACAAAGAACAGGATAGGGATGGCGGGGCAGAACAGGCTTGGGGGAATTCTCTTCTGATTGCTTTTACATTTTTAGGAAAATAAGATACAAAGTCTTTGGCTGCAATTAAGCGAAGAGGAGGATGTTTTCGGGGGCTAAGGAGAGAAGTCAGGAAATGCATTTCAAAGCTGGTTAAGTATCTGGGAAATATAGAGATGGTGCCAGGAAATCAGGGAAGTTAATGATTGCAACACTGAAATGAGACCTCACCAGCCCACAAGTGCTCAGCACGAAGTCTTGGACCAGAAAAAAGAAAATATTACTAAGAAAGTGAAGTTTGTTTAAACCACTTCCATTCCATTTTCTCCAAAAGTTAAAACAGAACTCTTTAGGTAATTTCCTGCCCTGTTGGGATCCCTCCAAAAGGCAGACACCCTACAGGTCAGTAGCGAAGGGCTTCTAAGCTAGCCTACCCGCACCCCACCCCCCGCCGAACTTTTTCTGGGGATGGGGTGGAAAGCAAAAACTCACCAAACTTTCTTGTTGTTTAGCTAATAACGTTAGGGCAGCTTTTGTCCTAGTTCAAAACTTCACTTTTAAGGCTCCAAATCCCTCAGTTTGCTTTTAAATGTTTGTATTTGCTTCACTGAGCAGGGAAGCAGCTATGATCTGGTAAGCCAATACAACCAGTCTCTGCAGGCCCATTCCTGTTTGCTCATCTCCTCCTAGCACTGGGCAGATGCCGGTTCTCGAAGCAACCCTTGAAGCAAACTGGCAGAGCTGACCCAACCTTGACTCTCACCGGTCCCCAGGGAGCACAATCAAGGTCATCCCTGGATGGCTTCAGACGTGGCCTTCCCCAGTCTGAACACCACTCTGACCGGGAGGAGCGCCAATCCTGTCCCTTATATACGGTGTCCTTTCAGCCTAGTCCTTAATATCTGCATTTGCATTTCAAATCCTAGATCTGCTTCCTTGGTGTGGAGCAAAACAACAAAGAAATGTCATCATTTCTGGTTGATAAAAACATCTTTTAGAAAAAAAATATCAACTTCCTTTCTGTCCAATTCCAGAGTTAACCCACTCCGGCAGAGTTCAGAGGTAAGACGGCAAGATGAAGCCTGGGACCACCACTGCCCACCATGGGAGCTGTTCCTGCGGGGTTACCTGGCCGCAGGTCCTCCTGTACTGCCCGTTCTCGGTCAGCAGCCCGAGCGCTGTTCTGGGTGGGGCGTCCTGGGCCAGCTGGGCTTTGGGAAGCATCTGACAGGCATCAGGTCCTCGGGTCGCAGGGGCCAGGACCACCCTGCCCGTGGAGCTGTTGCTGCGGTGCATGGCCTGCGTCTCTGCTAGCCGCTGCTCCCAAAAGAAGAGAGAAATGAAGAAGCCGGTTAGGCACCCCCTTGCCTGCCCACAGGTGGGGAGATTAGGAACGGCGTGCGAAGGCACAGCAAATAACTCCGGAGATCAGCATCTGTCCCTAGGGCGCAAACGATCAAAGTTGTTCTGGACCAAAACAATCAATCACTCCCTCTTGTGGCTTTCCTCCAAAACCTGGTCGAGGGCTGAAAGACATCCTGACACATTTCTGAAGCCTGGATACCAAATGGCCATAGAGACCTATGAATCCTAATCTTTCTCCGCCACGAAGTTCATCTCCTCTAGATTCAAACAAAGAGTCCATGATGTCACCGTCCCAAGTGACAAACCAGAGAGGAAGCTACCCTGAGCCCCTGCTCCCACCTGACACAAGGTTCCCCTCAAACCTGCTTGGAACCCCACACACCAGGCCCTGTTCTCCCCGATTTCCTAGAGCAATCTCTCCTAGAGCAAGTGCTCCTGCGAGGTTGGGGCTGAGAGGGACCAGGCAGGGACCTAGATGCGTCTGGATCCCAGCCTGGAGCGACCAGAGCGCTCAGCACTAGTTACTTTCGCCCCGGGCCGCATCTGTTGAATCGACCAATCAGCGTCGGCCAGGGCCTCGCCGGGGCCGCTTCCATGCCAACAGCAGGGAGCGTGCGCGCCCACCCGGGACGCATCGCCATGGCGACCCCACTCACCTGACACGTTCCCAGCGATGTCGCCGCCGACCCCCGGGCGCTCAGGACCCCGCGGGGGCTAACGGGCGGCCGCCCTCCCACCTCAATCCCGCGCCCCCGGCTGCTCCTGCGACGTCCCGCTCGGGGAGTTGCAGGAGCCGTAGGTTTCGGATGGGCACTCGCGTCCCGGGCCTGCGAGGGAGGATGACAGCCCCAGCAACCTGCAATTACAGAGCTTTGCAAAGGGCGGCTTCCGTGGACCGGTTCTGTCAACAGCCGCTAACGTCTTTTGCGCGGCCCGCTCCTGAGAACCTTGGCTCGGGAGAGCGACGCGGGGCCCTGGCCACTCCGGCCCGAGGGCGCGGCTCGCTCCCTGGCCCCAGCTCACACACCTATGCTTCCTTCCAGATGGCAGCCGAGCAAGCGGCCGGGCGGTGGCGGTTCTGAGCCTTGGCCTCCTCATCCACGGAGACTGCGGGCCTGGCGTCATTTGGAGACTTTGTGCACTGGAGGCCGCGCCTCGTCGCCTCTGCTTTTGGTGCATGGGCCCCAGCCGGGCGGCAGAGCAGCTTTGCTGTTTTAGGGTCGCACGTGGTGTCCCAGGTCCCGCACCGGAAGGCTTGCCTGAAGGCTTCGTGCTCCACCGCGCAAAGCTGGTCTTTGAACGCCAAGGTTGTGACCCAGGAACAGGAAGGAACGCGGGCAGCCGCGACGGGTCTTTGGACGTTGGGGGCGACTGTGGCGCGGCTCCGAACTGGGAATGCACGTGGGAGGGGGTGGGGGAGAGTAGGGATTCTGGATCCACTGTTCAGGGCAGGAAAAAGGAGGCTTTATTGGGAGAGGTGAATGTCCTCGAACTCTGGGAGTCCTAGCACAGGCAGGCTAGTCAAGTGAAATTAAAAAAAGTTTTTTGTTTGGTTGGTTGGTTGGTTGGTTTTTTTTTTGTTTGTTTGTTTGTTTTTTTACTCGAAGCAAGCAAGGATAGATCTGCACACATCACATATGATTTTGTATATAATATGTGCATTTTGCTTTAAGCATTTATCCCTGATCCCTAAACCAGACCCAAAGGCCATCCAAATGGCCACTTGAAGCATGCGATAGATGTGTGCTTTATTTGAAAGGCAGCACTACAGAGAGAAGCCTCTTCCATCCATGCTGGCTCACCCCTCAAATGGCCACAAGGACCTGAATGAGGCTGGTCCAAAGCCAGGAGCCCAATGATTGGATCACCTTCTGCCTCCCCAGGCTCATTAGACGGGAGTTGGATTAGAAACGGTGTAGCCGGACTAGCATTCATACGAGATTCTGGTATGAGGTGGCCTGGGATGCCACAACTCGACCATGGTTTTTTTTCAAGATTTGTTTGAAAGAGACAGATGTGCATCGTTTTGAGGGAAAGGTGTAGGTGTTCTGACTCAGGTGAGGATGGAAAGACACTAACAGGTGGGACGCATCCGGAGACCAGGGCTGGGCGCCAGGGCACTGCAAAGACCACCTTTTACCCTGGATTCCCATCCCTTTGGATCTCAAGGCAGGGACACTGACAATGGGCTGATGGTCCATCAGCAGAAGCTAACTGCATTGTCCCCTGGCTTCCCAGGAGCCTTCCTGGCTTGGCGACACTGCTGTGATTTCTGGCAATATGGGAGGCTCAGTGGTTATCCCGTCAGGGACTGGGCAGCAAGTCCTGCCAAGAGCCCAAATCACCAGGGTGGCCTGATGCTTCATGTTCTAAGTGAAAATGCCAAAAATCTCACACCCTTTGACTTTTCTCCAAAACAAAGGAGCTGGTGTGGTGCTTCGTGGCGGGCCCGTGATTTCCGCTTATCTTCTGGGACTACAGCAAAAAGGCGATGAAAGGAGTTATGGGGATGCCGGGCACAGCAGCCAGCTCCTGCCAAAACGGCGGTTTGAAGCTCAGTATTACTGACTCAATTCTGACCATCACGCAAAGCTGTCTTTAGCCTGAAGTGTCTTCTAAAATGAAAATAACCAAAGGAGATGGTCAGATTGTCATTTTTTTACTACCTCCTCTTAAGCTGAATAGCTGCAGCCTAATTGGCCTTACTACATGTGAGAAGAATCTTCCATCAGGACGATTACTCCCTGTGGAAGAAATATATGTTCCCATCATATTTCTCCCTTCTCCATGCACTTGCTAAGCTTGGCAAAGGAAAGTGATTGACTCCCTTACAGTTTTGTTGTGCTGCCTAAAAAAATTCTCCAATAAATCATTGTAATCCTCTTGTCAGAAATTAAAGTGAGCCCAAAAAACTTCTGTCTATGTGTGTCTTGAACATAGAAATTCAGATACTTGTGTAATGTGCAGTACTCACAGCCTTCATGGCTTTTAACAAATACTCAAAATCTTTTCATGAGCAATGATTTTTGTCACTAAAAACAAACAACTGATGAAAATGTGAACCATTTTATTTAAGAAACTCAACAGCTTGACTTAGAGATAACAAGAATTGGCAAAATAGATAGGACTATCTAAAAATTGTGCTACTTTAGTGAGATGCAGCTATAATTTTTATAGCAAAATTCAGATTAGAACCCAAAAATATGTGAATTGGAAGACACTCCAATGCTTTACACTGACTGTAGTTGGTAACAAATTATATTGAGAAATGAACATTTAATTGTAAACACAACTTTCTTTGCAATAGTCAATATAAACATGAATATACCATTTTTGATTTTAAAATGACTTGATTAGCACTTTATACCTGATTATTAAGTGCTCAGCTTGCTTTGATCATAATAGGGATGACAGCTGAAACCTGGAATTTTTGTTTTTTAAGATTTATTTATTTTTATTAGAAAATAAGATATTCAGAGAAGATGAGAGAGAAAAAAACCTTCCAGCGCTGATGCACATCCCAAGTGACCGCAAAGGCTGGAGCTGAACCTATCCGAAGCCAGGAGCCAGGAGCTTCTGGGTCTCTCATGCAGGCGCAGGGTCCCAAGGCTTTGGGCCATCTTTGACTGCTTTTCCAGGCTGCAAGCAGGGAGCTGGACAGGAAACAGGGCCACTGGGAGTAGAACCGGCGCCCACATGGGATCCAGGCATGTGCAAGGCAAGGATTTTAGCTGGTAGGCTACCACGCTGGGCCCTGAAACCTGGAGCATTTTTAAACCCAGAAACCCTATTAAAAACAACTCTTCTCTCCTTCCAATTGTGATTTCAAAATCAGCCTTTGCTGTTTGTCGCCAACTGGCTGGTAGCTCAGAAGTAGTTGTTCTATCACAATTGCTTCATTGTAATCAGTAATTAATCTCTGTCCAAACATTTCAGTTTTTATCAGCTAATATGAAATCAAGTCGGTTTTTTAGGATGGAGATGGAAAAGATTTAAGAAATAGAAGAAGCAATTTCCTGTAAGAACGGATGTTCATGTATGAACATGTATCAGATGTTTCTGGACACCTGTCATTCTAAGTATAGCTAACAACACACCTACATGGCACAAAGGCTGGGAAGAACAAAAGGACTAGTACAATTTGTGACATTTTGGCCTATGGCTGTAAAGGTGATGGCCAAAAGATATAGCAACTACAGAGAAGCTACCAGACATTTCTCCTCTTAGGAAGCACATGTCATTGGGTGGCAAAAAAAAAAAAAATTGTATTCATTAAAAGTTGTAATTCTCTGAATGGAAATACTGTGAATGCATACCTGAGACTAGCCAAGATGTAAGGAGCCTTCGTTCATGCTGCAAATACTCCTCGAGCACCTGTCTCGTGCATGGTAGTGACTGAGTAATAGACAGCAGTAAGAAGATCCCTGCCCTCAAGGAGCTTTTGTTCCAGAGAAACAGCAGGTGGTTATAATTCTGAATCCTCAGTGCTTATTTCACCAAGAGAGGTATAAACAAGGAGCAGCTGGAGCTTAGAGAAAAGGGACAATGCCATGTTGCTGTGGAGATCTGGAAGTGGATGCAGATCTCATAATTAAGATAATTAAAGTCTTGAAGAAAATTAACAGATGGGGCAGGAGCGGGAGTCTACAAAACAGACTTTGGGGGCTCCCAAAGATGAATGTTCCGTGGTATATAGCACCTTCCAAGGGACGGCAGTAACTTGTGCTATTCAGAATGCCCCTCTCCACTGTCTTCATGGCTCCAGGTCAGGCAGCCTGAGCCGTCATCCAGGGAATTGGTCCCCCTCCCTGCAGCCTGCTGAATGCAAGTAAGGGTGGGTGGGTGCGGTTGCCATGTGACGATCTCTAATAATGTGCTCAACAGGCAATACAGCCCTGACATTGGAGAGCTGTGACTGTAACTAAGGCCTTTATAAGGTCCTGTGCCGAGCAAAA